GGTGCTTGAATTAGAAATGAGTAAGAAAGGAAACCCCACATGTCCTCGTGGGTCTGTGTGTTTGTCTGGGATTCCCTTATGTGTCCCAGAACTGCTTTCCCACGGTGAGATCTGCTAAGACGGTGCTGGGGGGATGCAGAGACTGGTGCCAAGCCTACGTGGAGCGGCATGCTCAGGCAGAAGCTGAAGCTGTGGGTGAGTGATCGGAGGTCGGTATCTATCCTTGCTCTCAGTCCTCTGCAAGAAAGGGTCTGAGGGATCTTGTCCTTTGGGACAGGGGAAGTGCCCAAAAGGCTCCCAGGAGGAGGAGGGGAAGAGGGAACAACTCAGGGAAGCTCAGCTCTGGAAGTCACAGGGTGCTTGAAGCCAAGCCCCAGATACCATAATCAGGGTCAGCATGGCCGCTTCTGCACGGAGGGCAGGGACATGAGAGACCTTGAATGTTATTCCCATGGAGTAAGACTTCTGGTAAAGAGGGGTACCCTAGATATAGGGGGGCTGCGTAGAGATGGTGACAAAGTAACTACATCAGGCCTGAAGCAGAACCCTGCGTCTCCTCTCTCACAGCCCTGGGGAGCCACTCTAGACCGCGGCACCTTAGCTAAGCAGGGCCGGGCAGAACTCCGAAAGCCCAGCTCAGAGACAGAGCCAGCAGTGTGGGCCTGGGTTGGGAGGGGTGAGGGTGTCAGCAGGCGATGGGGGGAGTCTGGCAGGATGAGGTGGAGGATCATTCTATGATGCTGTTAGGATGGTGGCTGTGTGTCAGTCTTTGAACGGGATGTTCTAGATGAGTGAGTTGTACACTGTACAAATTACAATCTTGACAAACTATTGTTTAAAACATAGCTTTAATTTTATGTATTGCATTTGCATGTGTGATGTGTGTGAGCGTGTGTGTGTGTGCGTGTGCGTGTGTGCATGCCTGCCTGTGTGCCTCCACACAGCACCTGTATGGAGAACAGATGACAACTCTCGGGAGTCGGGAGTCGGGAGTCGGCTCCCTCTCCTGTGGGTTCTAGGGATTGAACACTGGTTATCGGGCTTACTAAGCCATCTTGCCAACCCTAAAAAAACATAAATAAAACATACACAAGACACATCTTCCATAACCTTGGAAAAGGTTACCAGATATTCCTGTGGGGAAAGGGAGAGTGGGGGGAACGGGATGAGGCCTTGTCTATCCTCCTGTAGTTGGTGCATGGATGGGAGGATGTCCTTTGTGGAGCTTTTGGCAAAAACCAGGGCATAAGGGAAAGACTTCTTCCATGGTCCCTGCATTTTAGTAAGAACGGGCCTACTAGGCTCGTATATGTTTAGTCATCCGAACGTGGTACTATTTGAGAAAGATTAGGAGGTATGCCTTTGTTGGAGTAGGCGTGGCCTTGTTGGAGGAAGTGTGTCACTGGGGGTGGGCTTTGAGGTTTCAAAAGCCCAAACCAGGCCCAGAGTGTTCTCCTGTTGCCTGTGGATCCACATGTGGAACTCTCAGCTCCTTCTCCAGCACCATGTTTGCCTAGGTGCCTCCATGATCCCTGCCGTGATGATAATGGAGTAAACGGAAACTGCAAGCAAGCTCCAATTAAATGCTTTTTTAATAAGAGTTGCTGCGATTACGACGTCTTCTCACAGCAATAGAACAGTGACTAAGACAGTTCCCCAGAGGAAGTGAAAATGTATGCCCAGGAAGACTTTGAGCGTGTGGACTAGTGACACCCAGAAGCACCTGGGAAATCTGTGTGAGACAGGAGTCAGAAGGTTCCCTCGTGTGAGATGACTGAAGTACCCGAGAGGAGACTGCAGCCCATCACCTGACAGCCAACAAACAGCAGACAGACTGCCACCCAAAACCTCGGGTCCATTTTAGCCTCAAAAAACAGCCAAACCATGCCCACTCTGGGTCAGAATGGGACTGTCCCAACACCATGAGTGCCATGGAGAGGACCCACATTTGTCAGAAGTGGGAACGGAAACAAGTGGAAAGGTTGCACCTTAGTTAGCTCAGAGCCCCATGCCCTCACTTCCTTGGTGGATGCAGTAAGAGTGCTGCCTTCTCAGCTATGGTCCTACTCAGCCCTGGGATGCCTACAGCATGCAATCTTCTTACCATCCAGCAGGTGGCAGCACGACACTGCAAAACCCTGCATCTCCTTGTCCCTCACCAATTACAAGTCAGTTTGGTTTGGTTTGGTTGTTTTTGACAGGGTCTCATTATGTATCTCTGGCTGTCCTGGGATTCATTGTGGAGACCAGACTGGCCTTGAACTCAGAGATCTTACTACTACTGCTTCCTAAGTGCTGGGATTAAAAGCGTGTGCCACCACGCCCGGCCATCTTGCCAATTACAGGCAGATGGCTGGCTGGCTACCATCCCCATCCCCTGATTTTTCCCCAGCACAGCCCTTTCGATCTGGTGGTGGGAGCTATTGAAGGTTCATGGCTAACTGGATGTCTCTGCTTCTCCTGTGTGGCTGTGATAAAAAACACCCTGACAAAAGCACAATCCATCACGGTGAGAAAATCAAGGTGGCAGGAGCCTGAAGCAGACAATCACACAGTATCCACAGTCAGAATAAGAGACCGACTGGTGTCAGGCCCATATCACTCTCTTTGCTTTATACAGCCCAGAGCCACACCCCAGGGAATGTTTCCATCCACAGCAGACCTGTCTTCCCACCTCTCCTGTCACAATCAAGATAATCAGAGAAATACCCAAAGTTCCATCTCCCAGGTGGTTACAGATTCTATCAAGCAAACAATTATCATTAATCATCTAACTGAATGACATGTCTGCTCTCCTGGCTGGGAAGTTTAGAAAGCTCAAAGCCCATCCCTTCACAGAGCCAGGTCAGAGCTTTAATGCAGTTTTCCTGGCAATGTCAATGGCAGTCATGGTTAAAGCCTTACTCCAGGCAAAGCTTGAAGACCCTCCCTATCTGTGGCTGTTGCTAGAGTCTGGTACATCCTGCTGACAACCCCCATAATCTTTCCATGTTCTCACAATGTCCACTCAACATCACCCAAGAGCCTCACATTCAACATGTCCACAGAGGCCACCCTTTACCCACAGGCTGAGACCTGGACCCATCCAGACATAGCACTCTCCGAAGCCTCCCACACTGCTTTGGTCAGGCCCTGGGCAGCTCTACATGGATTGGAGCAGACACAGGCAACAGTGCTCCTCTTCCATCCTACCTACACAACTAAGGCTACGGGGGGGGGGGGGGGCAGTCTTAAAATGACCTTCCTGGCCAAGAAGACAGACTCCCCTGAGCAGCTTGAGAGACTGCTGCTGCTGCTGTGTGCCTCTCCATCTCTGAATCCCAATGGCCCTGCTACTCCTTGTGTAGGCCTTGTCCCTTTTGATGGCCTGGACCACTCCATAGCCTCACAACCACAGTGGGGTCTTCACCAACTCTCATCCACACCTGCCATCAGCCCAGGGACAGGAAAAGGCCTCACAGAGACACTGAACCTTTGGTCCAGGATTCCTAGGTGATGCCGGCCCTCCACAACAAAGCTGGCTGCATGGCAAACCTTCAGGACAGCCAAGAAGCAGTTGTCTGGCCTCTTTTTTTCCCAGGCCTGGAGCAAAGCCTGATGTTCCTTAAGCATATATCCATCGGTTTGTATCTGTGTTCTTGCATACTGGTAATGGCATAGAGCCCCTGAACCTTCCAGAAAACACACGGCTCTCACCCATTCACTCCACAAATGTGCATCAGGCATCTATGCAATCTTGGAGAGTGCTCAACAATGGAATCATCTCTTTTCCTGGTGAAACCTGGAGAACAGAGAAGCTATGTTGAAAGCCAGAGTGACCTCATCTCTCACCATAGTGAGGAGAATCCACCTCTTGCTGAAAACGCAGAGCCCTGAGCAAGTTCACACCGGGGGAGGCTCTGGGCAAAGCCCTTCCGCGGCCTTCACATTTGGGGCATTAGTTGACGAATATGGAGGGCCAGCCGGCAGCCCCTCGTGTTCTGGAGAAAAAGAACCTTCAGCACTAGCCTCCTACCTCCCGTGGTATCAGAAACTCAACTTGCTCTGTTCAACCTAACCTCAGACACTCTGAGCTTCCAATAGGTCAAAAACTTTGGCTCCAATGCTCCCACGCCAAGAAGTAAGATGACTCGGAGCCCTGCACAGCCCCTGCTCCTGAGAGGGACAACTATCGGAACCAGACGTTCTGGACCAGTTGGGACACACAAAGCACCCAGCTCTAGACCACCTATTGTGTGGGGAGGGGTCGAGGCCAGGACTGAGGCCTGGACAGGTGACGGCAACCCCAGTCCCTCACTTACACGAAGGAACCCGGACGCTTCTCCAGCAATTTCTGCTCTGCCCTCAAACTCCAGCTCCTTTCCCCAGCCAAAACTGAGAAAATCCACCGTATTCTTCCCTCCAGGATAAGACTGGGAATCCTTCGTCTGAGGGAAACGAGGGGCTGTCTGTCTGTCCTAAGCAAAAGGTTCCATCCCAGACGCCAGTCTCCACCTCAAACAACAACTTAAGGAAAATCGCGGCAGTCTCGCTGCGATGCGCCTGTGAGGAGATTTCCTGCCTACAGGAAGGTGATAATTCAGCTTGCAAGGCCCGGTCTCTGATCGCCTGGAGCAGACTACACCTTACGGAGTCTGGAGACCTAGAGGAGAACCCGGCTGCGAGCTCCCGCTTAGCTCCTGCGAGTGGGGACCCAGAACGAAGCGAGACTGAAGCCGGTGCCCCCGGGACCGGAGCTTCTGGGGAGGTGACCTCCTAGCAAACAAGACTTGGAAGTTGAGGCGCCAAGAAGCGCTCCCATCTTCCGGCTGGTGGGTCCGCTTAGCCGCCGGAGCGCGGCTGAGAAGAGGCGGCCAGCAGGTCCCCTCTGATTGGACGGCGCCAAGTCCCAGCGGGCGCCTCCGCGGCTTAAAAACGAAACCGAGACGGGAGGGAGCTAGAGCGGCCCCGGCCGGCCCCGGCGCCTGGGTGAGGAGGCGCAGGAGGGGTGGCCGGCCGGAGAGACCACACGGAGGCCCGGGGACCCCTCCCACAGACAGCCGGACGCGCCCGCGGGGGCAGGAGGTCGCGGCGCGGTGGCCAGCTCCGGAGAGCTATGGCCGAGCTCAAGTCGCTGTCGGGGGACGCTTACCTGGCGCTGAGCCACGGCTACACCGCCACCGGCCACGCCTACGCTGCGGCGCGCGGACCCGAGACGGCCCGCGGCTTCGGGGCCTCGGGGCCCGGCGGCGACCTCCCCGCGGCGCCTGCCTCCCGCGTCCCGGCCGAGACGGTCGAGAGCAGCGGAGAGCAGAGCGCCGACGAGGACGACGCCTTCGAGAGGCGGCGGCGGCGGCGAGGGCCGGGGGTCGCGGTGGACACGCGGCGGCGGCCCCGGGAGCAGCGCTCGCTGAGGCTCAGCATCAACGCGCGCGAGCGGCGGCGCATGCACGACCTGAACGACGCCCTGGACGGACTGCGCGCAGTCATCCCCTATGCGCACAGCCCGTCGGTACGCAAGCTCTCCAAGATCGCCACGCTGCTGCTGGCCAAGAACTACATCCTCATGCAGGCTCAGGCCCTGGAGGAGATGCGGCGCTTGGTGGCCTACCTCAACCAAGGCCAGGGCCTCGCTGCACCCGTGGCCGCCGCTCCTCTGACGCCCTTCGGCCAGGCAGCGGTTTTCCCGTTCTCCGCGGGCGCCGCGCTCGGGCACTGCCCGGACAAGTGTGCCACCTTCTCGGGATCGCCCTCGGCGCTTTGCAAACACTGCGGCGAGAAGCCCTGACGGCACCCCGCAGCCGCCTTTCTATTTAGACTGTCCCCTGTCCTCACCGGCCGGACTCGATGGAGAGAAGGCGGCCAGACCTCGGACCCAGCTTGCAGAACTGTTGGGTGCAGAACGCGAGGTCCGTCCTGGCAGAGCCACAGACTGGGTGCTGGACTCCAGACCCCACCTCATCTACAGTGCTCTCTCGGTGTACTCTGGACGTTGCCAGCGCTCTGGAGGTGAGGATGACCGGTTACCAGCTGTGCATCAAAAGGCCAAGGGAAGGAACAAGTAGTGGCCTCTCCCACTTCTGACAGGTGACTCTGCCCAAGGCGCAGGAGCGCAGGCACAGAGCATCCCTTGACCATGCCCTAGCACTGGGGATCATCCTCTGCCCCAGTTCCTTCTAAGCCAACCTGCAGCGCCTTGCTCCAACTAGACGCGGTCCGCAGGACGGATGTGGCCCCTCACCAAGGGCCTCTGACGGCTCCAAGACTCCAGACCCTGACAGAGATTCTGAGAGGGATTCTGCGGTGGTCCTTTGCAAAGGATGTAAGGCAGATGGAGGAAGAACCCAAGAGATGAGGTTTGCAACATTTCCAAGTCTGAGCTTGTTCTCTTCATGCTCTCGCCTGCCCAGAGGCTCAGGAAACCCAAGTCGGCCAAAAAAGTCTGTGGAACCATCCCTAAATATGCCCGGATCACTAGCGCCTGCTTCCTGCGGGCTGGGATGGGCGTCACTTCGTTCTGCTTGTCCCAAGGGGACTGGTGAAGCCCTCAGAACCCGCTTCGGGGCTACTTCACCTGGAGAGTCAGCCGAGGACTCCAGTCTAGCTCCAGAGCCAACCGAGCCCCTCTGCTCCAGTTTTCGAACTTCTAAAGGAAGCCGGGCTACCGGTGAGTACCCGGGCGCTGGACTGAATAGGAACTGATCACTCACCAAATCGCATCGCAACCCAGAATCCTGCCACTCTCCCCAGTCCAAGGCTTAGCCCAAGAGCCCCAGATGTTGGCTGGATTTTGATCGGTGGCCCTTGGCAGCTTCCGCCTCCATTTACCCAATTTTCTTGGCCTTCGTTGATGCAAAGCAAATCGGGAGAGGGCTGCTGCTCTGCAAACCGCCTGTCTATAGCGCTTAACTTCAATGAATGCGTTTGAAAAGGCCCTTTTGTATTTGCAAAATGACGTGTGTGATTAAGTCTTATTCATAAAGACGTATGCTTAATACTGGTTTCTGCTCATTTCCATTTTTTTATTTCTTAATTGTCTTTTCCCCTCCCCTAAACTAATCTGCTTTGCACATTTCAAAACAGACTGTTTCTCAAGTTCCCTTAAGATGAACAGGGAAAAACTGAAAATTCAAGTGTTGTTAGCTCTGGGGTCATTACCCATCATTATCTGAAAAGTCCTGTATTTATGTTTAGACCGGGAATGGTATGCAGATAAAGTATTTGATTTCAGCTTATTTTACAAAAATAGTATGATTAAATTTTAATATCAAATTAAGTGTACATCAATGATTTGATTTCTAATCTCATTATCCAGACAGTGATACTGATTTGGGATCCATCTTCTAGGCCCCCAAGAAATATATGGGATTTTAAAATAGAGGGATACACCACTAACAGATACAATGAGTTCATATGAGAAAGGTGAGGAGTCGGGTGGGGGTGGTGATTTAAACCAGCAGGAGATTGGGACAGGAGGATAGAAAACTTAGGTCAGCCTGATGACATAGTGAGACCCTCTCAGGAAAAAAAAAAAAAAAAAAGATTAACTTTGAAAAAGAAAAGAAAAAAAATCTCTTCTGCTAGAATGAAAGCAGTTTTTAAAGAGCTGGGTATGATGACGATTCATACCGTAACTTCAGCCCGGGAAGTGGAAATGGAAGGATTGTGTCAATCCCAGGTCAGCCCGAACTAATAATACCTATTTTTGCCTAAACTAAACAGTAGTAACGACCCCCTCCCCCAAATAAAACAAAACAACTTTTAGCTGTTTCACTAATAAAAAATAAAATGTCTTCAATTAGTAATCTTAAATGAAAGTTCAAATTAAATCAGGACATTTTAAAACTGGAAGCTATTCTCAAAAAAAAAAAAAGTCAGCAACTTTCACTGGGATAAATGAGTAAGGTGGGTTTTTTTTTTTTTTTCAAGTAAAACCCCATACTTTTCTCATTTGTGGCCATTAATAAAGCGTCCTGGGCTTGCACAGCAAGTTTCCCATCCTGAGGCCACCCTCCACAGCCAGAAAGGGTGCCTGCCATAAGTGTGGCTCTTTTGAAGCAGCTCATGGGGCCTCTGGTTGGTTTTTCCCTGGGAGTAAAGGGTTAAGCTCCTATGGGAGAGATTCTCTATGAGTCTCAGGGGAAGAGCTTCATTTACATCTGCAATCTGACCTTGAAGTAGCGGTCTTGGAAGCTCCTTGCCTAGTTGGGGGTGGGGGGGGTGGGGTTGTTTTGTTGTTTTGTTTCCTTTTTAGGAAAGTAGCTGGAGCTGTGGTGAGGTGCAAGGAGGAGTTCCCAGGACTGGGCTCTTCCCTCTTCCCTCCAGAGTCCTCCACACAAGGAACATGGATTATGTGTGAAGCTTACATTTTTTTCTAGTGGGCTGCATAAAAACAAGTGAACAAAAAAAAAAAAAAACAGGTGAACAGAAGTGGGTGAAATCATTTTAGTGGTAATGTGTATGTCTCCGTACTTAATCACGTCAGTCTTCAAGTTGCTGTCTTGCTCAGCGAGCTCCCCTCTTTCCGACCTGCCACGTTCCCAGTGCTCCATGCTCACGTGTGGCTCATGGCCACAGTGGCCTTGGTACAGCTCCAGGCTGTGACTGTCTAGAGCACTAAATACCCTTTGCTTCTTCCCTTTGTCTAATAGTTACCGGGAAATGCCACCGATTCTAGAGCCATGCAGATACACAATGCTAGTCTATCCCTGCTTTCTTTCAACGCCTACCTCCTCACTGCATCTCCCTCTAAGATGCTAGGGCTGGGCCAATGAGGAGAAGAGCCACTGTCAGCTGTCTGTCAAGAGATGGGATAGACAATGTCCTTCTGCTTCACACTGGCTGACCACACCTAAGCCAGGAGAACCCACCATCAAACAAGGCCAGAAGCTGGTGACATCCCTAGGTCCCGCCCACCTTCCCAGGAGTTAGCTTGAATCAGGGGCACCTTCCTCTGCTGGAGTCCTCAGCCTTGCTGCTTGCTGGCTGAGCAACTCAAAAGACACTGCTTTGATTATGCTGAGAAGAAGGTCCAGCTTACAGGAGTATGGTATAAGCCCAATGGGAACCAAGTTGCATAGCCAGGTCCTACAGCATCTTCATTCAGTAACTGTCATGTCTGTTCTTGGATGCCTGCTGCTGGCCTGCTACTTGCCCAGGGCATCCAGCTTGCCACACAGGTCAGGAGACTTAAGATGGCCTGATTTAGGGGCCAGGAAACTTAAGTTCCTATCACCTCCTTTCTCCTCCTTTCTTAAAAACACACAGACCAATCTCTTCTTAAGTCTCCAAGCTTTGTGGCTTCATAACTGAAACACTGAAGGCTCCTAGCTACACACTGCTACAAACTATTTGATGAGGGTTTTCCCATCAACACTTGGGGCTTGTGACATATTCATTTCCCACAAAACTCAAGATTCTGCATACCCAAAGGCCTTTGTTTCTCCAAAGTTAAGAAATATATTGGCCTGAAACACACACACACACACACACACACACACACACGAGCACAAATGCCACAGGGTCAGGCTATGGGGCATCCAACAACTCCAAATACTACTGAAAGCCCAGCTCCAGCCCCAGAACAGTAGAGATGGCCCCAAGGCCACCTTCCAGCATTTCCTCCAGCCTTCAACAATTCTCCTGGCTCCCCTATACTCTCTCTCCTTCCAGACAGATTGGCCTCTAGAGGTTTCATTTTATTAACTTCATCTCAAATTTATACCATCACTCATGCAGGTTTACCTAAGTCATAGAGAACCAAGTAGACGTGTCTCTAGCCCACGTACCTTAGTGTGAGGGTGTTTTTAATATATCCTTATTGATTATTTGGGAATTTCACAAGGAGAGACTTTTAAAAATACTTATTTTTATCTTTAATTATGTGTATCTGTGTGTGGATATGTGCACACAGGTGCAGGTGCCCTCAGAGACCAGAGGTTTTGGATCCAGTTACAGGTAGCCATAAGCTGCCTGGTGTGGGCACTGGGAACGGAGTGTACGTCCTCTGGAAGAGCAGCCAGCGTTCTTAATCTTGAAGCCATCTCTCCAGCCTTAAGAGGCACTTTTAGAAGACATTTCTACGGAGTGTGTGGGCATGCACAGCACACGTGTGGAGCTCAGTGGACAGCTGTCAGTGAATGAGTTCTTTCCTTCCACGGTATGTGCCCAGGGGTTCAAACTCAAGTTATCATGACCTTGGCGGTGCTTCTTTACGAAGGAAAAATACTGCTTTTCTAAACAGGTATAAGAAATGAAACACCATCCTCTCACCCCAAAGCTACCTGGGCCGCAGAGTCTGTTCTGCCAAAGAAAAGAACCCGGAGCACAGTTGCTGATGCCCCCTAAACCCGGGTTAATCCGGCAGAGAATGATGACAGCAATTTTATAATGTAAATTTGTTTGTGATCTGTTTTTAGTCTTTATTCCCTTTTGAAGGGATAGAGATAGAGGGATTTGCAATGTATTAAACCATTTCTCTAACAATTGCCTCTTTGTAACCAGCCGCTGTGTTCCAACACCCCAACAGAAAGCCTGTTCTGGAAAATTGGAAAGTTATGACATGAATGCAAACTCACCCCCACAGGAACAAAACGCATGTTGCCATGAGCACAAAAAGATTCAAACAATTAGCCAATTGACCCCCAAAGCCATTATTGTCCCTGCAGTAAAAGTGACTCAGGTTGGTGCCTCGCCAGCCGGAAGTGCCCCGGGGATATTTACTTATGTCATGTAGAATAGCTGTTTTTGAGTGGCTACCAGAAAGGAGATGACAGTTGTGGGGTGCATGGGTGGAAGGGGGTCTCTGAGAAGGCCAGCATTGCCCTGTGTCGCTATTTCTGATCTCCAAGATTGCATCCTTGTATACCTCTGGGACTCAAACCACCTCTGGAGCTCAAGCAGGCAGAGTATTGCATTTTTGGAAGACATTCCTATCACAGTGCAATGTTGAGCCGGGTGTGGCCCTGTTGGTTGGTCTCTGTTCTCCAAAACTCTCAGGTCACCTGGCATGCTCACCCCACCATTAGTCTTAGGGTTTCTTTGCTGTGAAGAGACATGAGGCTAGTCTCTAGTTCCACAAGGACCACTTTTGCTGCCCTGGAGAGGGCTTGCCCAGCCAAGATTTTGGGTCAAAATGCTAAGACACACATGAGATGTATGATGGTCTTGGTAGCCACAGGCATCTGACAGGATTTTTTATTTTTGACGCTGTCACCTGCTGCCAGTACAGACTTGCATCATCCACCGCTGTGCCCAGCTCTCCCAGCACTGCCTGCTCTCGTAGCACCGTTCTAAAGTCCCTGGAAGAAAATGGTCTCTGTGCTTCACACACAGGAAAAATCCCATCTTATACATCCCCAGCAGATCCTGAGGTATCAAGTGGTTCTCAGGCTGCCTTGGCCCATGCTGTG